AGCAGTTTATTCAGGATGAATATTTGTTTTCTTTTTTCCACAGCATGTGAGATAGGAAATAGCTTTTTTTTTTTTTAAGTTTTGTTTTACATATCCTCTTACACTCTGTTGAAAGATAGAATAAAAGTTGACAGAACAACATTTTTTACCCTTATTTAAGAGGGGCTTCCCATGGGCACTTGTAGCAGTGTGGGAGTTAGCAGGCGAGTGGTATTTTGGGCCAAAGAGTGGTTTTACTGTCCCTCTTTCTCCCATAGATACCACCTGGCTCGCAGCTCTCTCCTTATAAGTGCTGCTACATAGCATTAGGCTGAATTTATCAGTCTCATAGTGCCAAAATAGAAGCAGAGGCTGGCAGAGCGCGAGGGGACATCTGATGGTTATAAAAAATTGAGAGGTGGCAAATCTGCAAATCATTCACATCATGGTGCAAATGCCTGCATGTGATTCAGATTCTGTTCTCATTTTGCCTGACATATTCTAAAGGTTTCTGGGTAGACTTCTTAATTTGTAGCAGAGTTTCATCATTAAGGAGTGGAGGGTCGGTGCATGCATTGGATCAGGATTAAAATTAGTGTATAATGTGCTGCACTGCGTCAACAAGGGGAATTAGCTCTTGATCATAATGACGTTCAGGGAGAATTGTAACTGTGGACTTGGAGAGGCATTTGGGATGATGGTGGAGGGAAGAAAAAGTCTTGAAAGGAGATGACTGGTTGGTCAGTCAGTTGGTCAGCCTTAGGTTTTTTCCATTATAGGAATCTACCAGAACATGACAAGCCGTGTAACGCTCATCCCGCCCTCTATTTGTTTCCACTGCCCTCTGCCAGCTTTAGAGGTGCGTTCCAGGGAACTAAATTTCAGCACCTCTCAGGAGGTAGTACTAAAATCAAGTTCTTGGAATGTGAGGGGGTGGGGGTGCATGCTTGCAAACCTGTCATGCCTGATTAAATGTCCACGTCTTCACATCTCAACAACCTATTAGCTTTACAAGTGCCATGTGTAAACAGAGACACACTGGTTTTGAAAGTAAAATTGATTTTGTTGCACTAAAGAGCACTGTGATCTTTGACCCATGCTCAGTTCGTGTATGTGAGCATGTGTGCAAGGAGTGCACAAAGATCAGCATTGGCCCATGAGGTTATGGCAAGTGACAGTTAAGGGAAGCACACGGTGTACCACTCGTTAGGTTCCGACAGTGGAACCGCTTCTTCGTCCGTCCCTCTCCCCCACCAAAAGGGAAATTTTGGAGACAGAGCAGAGGACGTTGTTGGAGACGCACATGATGGAAAATGAATTGCTTTATCATCCAAGAATTCAGTTTCCTCCATTTATTTGCAACATGGGTTTTAGTTTGTACTGTAGTAAGCTCATTTTAAATATTTTCCAGACTGACATTCATGATTGTTATGACCCCTTAGAAAAGGCCCCGTCACCCAAATTTAATCAGACGTTTTTTTGTATATTAGTATTGACAGAACCACAGCAGAATTATAAAGCATTTTAAAGACAAACGGGTGAATTACTTTGCAGTCATACTATTGTCAGTTATATTTTGTGAAAAACACTTTTCTGTTAGTTCCAGGCAACAGAGAGGTCCGGTTCAGTTTTTGCCGAGGAAGAGAAGGGTGGGGATTATCATAGTTCCATCAGACATTTTTCTAGTAAAGTGAAATGTAATAACCTCATTATAGAAACTAAAGTTCATATGTGAAATGTATGAAAGTAAGACAGAAAACTAATGAGTACTACTATTTGACTGTGGCTTTTTCTGGAGCTCAGAAGAAGAGCTCTAATGGCTCAGTAATATTTTCTGAGTTTAGCTTGGCTTGTCTGCAGGCGTTGGCTCTGACAGATGTCTGACTGTGCATGCACATGAATTCAAGTGTGTTTTATGTGTACATGGGTTTGCATTTCTCATTTAACTCCTCTTTAGTTCTTCAAAGCCCATTGTTTGTCGTGTGTGTGTGAGTGTGCCAGTATGGTGCAGTCACTTTGCTCCAGCTGTTACTCATCACAGAAAGAGACAGTTTACAATGGGTCTTAGTTTAAACAGATAGCAAGATAAGTTCAGGGCTGTTGCTTTTTAGCACTCATCTGATACAAACACTCAGAGCAAGGCAGACACACATTAGTCACACTCACTCACTGAGTTTGCAGCGAATCCCAGAGGTCAGTAGAAAAGAGCAGAAATTGGCATGCTGTCATTCTTGCAGACACACCTGCACTGTGGGTTTCAAGAGTCCTCTGCAGAACACTTAATATCAAATAGCCAAGTTTCCTGTCTTCCCTAAAGCAGAGAGACAGCATAAGAAGGGGAGGCAGGGTGAAAGAGTGATAAAAGGGATTAATAGATAATTGGTTGCCGCTTCCGTCAGCAATGCGGCATGAAAAATGTAAAAGTTATTTATATACTGTCTTTGCAAAGATAATACCTCCCTGTTTTTTCAACCTAGTGCTTTTCCCTTCTGTAGTTAACATTTGTGAGATGGTATAAGCAGCAGCAATGGTAAACAAACTACAGCTTTGTAAATGTTTTCCTTCAGAGTTCTCCTTGCTGCAGGGCTGCTCAGGTTGTTCTCTCATCCAGTGTTGAACCCATCTTCAAGTGTGCTCACAGCACTTTGTGCCTTTTCCAGGGACATCCCTGTGGACTTCAAGTACATTGCTGAGCCAAGTATGCACTCTATGCCAGCTGTGACTCTTTCTCCCAACGGTGAGCAGTGAAATCATGGGACAACACACACACACACACACACAGTACAGAGGACTCTGGGGAGCATAAGCTTATATTGCCAGATTTGTGGATTCACATTTTGTAGTGTTGGCTATTGCTCCAAAGAATAAAAACAAGGCAGGGTTTGTTCAGCAAATTAAACGTATGAGTAGGAATGTTAGTTTGACATTTTGTTAGTTGCACATATTTTACCTTCTTGCTGAAGGTTATATGAAAAGATCAGTATTACTTTCATACAAAGCTTTAGGCTACAGCCAGGAGACGGACTGCTTAGCTAGTCTGGCTCTGTCCAGAAGCTTTTAAATGGAAAAAAAAACTCCATTGAGTCATTGTGAGGTTGCCAGGCGGAGACTGCACCCTTCCAACAGATAGTCCAGTACATAGACTCCTAAACGTAAAACTCCTACTTGTTGTGTCAACACTTTTTGTGTGGATTAAACAAATAAGTTATAACACGTTACTTACTGAGCTTCAGATGTGCTGGTTGGCAGATTTTTATTTACCTTTGGAAAGAGCCAGAGTAGCTGCTTTCTCCCTCTTTCCACTCTTTATGCTTAAAGGTAGGGTTGGCAGTCCTGGAAAAACCAGCAAGAGGAAGCTCGTTTTTGAAAGTAGGCAACCGAAGAAATCCCACCCTTTTGTTCGGACTTTGCTCCAAAACACAACGCGCACTGCCTGACTACTACTTAATAATTTCAGCAAAATAATAAATAACCCCCAAACAAAACCGATAATTACCTGTCCAGCAGAAATACGGCCCCCATGACGTCACTTTTCGGCCCCTTTGTTCTCTCAGTTGTCGCCATCATTCAAAAGCCACCCTGGTGTTAATTCTGGTTTTACTTCTTGCAGCATCCAACTTCTTTTTAGTTGTAACATTCTCGAATATAGTGTTACCCAGTCAGATCCTGAACCTCAGGACCTCTGGTTCACGGCTAAGTTAAACTGCTTTAGCCCTAGCTCGTAGCCGGTAACTAGCCTTAGAGGTCCAGGCTTTTCTGGCAGGGATAAGTGAAGAGGGAGGCCACGAACACCAACACAGCATGTGGCCTTTGATGCCCAGTTACAATCCCGTCTATACACTTAGAGCTGACTACTGTCTGACTGCATGTAAAAGGAGTCTGTTCCGTGCGGTGGTCTTTTCGCTCTCATACTGTGCACACACAGGTAGCAACTTCTTGCAACAACATTACCTACAAGGCTCCAGGTCTTAAAGGGGAAGGCCTGGCCTGTAACATCAGTCTCCCTTTGTGATGAAAAGCTGCTGTGGTTACCATCTCTGCCATAACTCGCAAGCTATCAAAACAGAGCAGTAACACATCTGCCTGCAACTGAAAGGCCTTGTGGGAGATTCTTGACTCGTGCGTTAAATGCAAGGGCAGAGTATGTGCATGTAGAAAGTTGGGTTGACAGGCAGGTAGGCCATCCACTGGTTTTGCTCAGGGTAAGTAAAATTATTGGTCGTGTTTTTGTTTTTTAGTCTTTCTTTTTGTTGTCGGTGCATTTAATGTATTCATTACCATCGGGATGAAAAAATAATTTCAAGATATGTAACAAAAAATGCTTCTGAAAAGAATCGCCAACCCTACCTTTAACTAAGGTAACCCTGTCCTGGCTATAGCTTCATATTTAACGCACAGAATATACATTCCCCTTCAAATGTAATAGATGTAAGAATGGTATCAACCTTTTCATTAGCTAGCTTTTGGCAAGAAGGTGAATGTCAAACTCTTCCTTTAATGTTGAACTATTCTGCATGAACATGTTCAAATTGCCCTCATAAATTATGTAATACAGGAGTGTAGTAGGCACTGTGAAGCTGTGTTATGAGAGAAAATTTTGATAAATGTACATAAATATTGGCTGATACTTAATATGAAGAGACTCAAATGAGCATTAAGGAATAAAACCGAAGTAACAGGCAGTCATCCTCTTTGAATGTAATGTTGCTCCCAGTCAGGTTCGGCTACCATCAGACTCGGTGCTTCTGTCCTCGTCTGTTCCTTCCTCCTCTACCTACCTTGGTTTGTTTCTCTTCAGCATGTGAATAATGAATGTTCTCAGTTCAGTTTTCTCTCACACCTAAATAGCACCCAGATTCTCTCCCTTGGCACAGCATCCACAGCCTCTCTTCTATTTTTTTACTCTCCTCAGTCTTCTGCCATCTTAATGAAAGAGACATCCTGAGCTTGTGAAATTGGCTAAGTTGTCTTCATTGTCCTTTACCTATTGCATTTGACAAGTGTGGACAACAGTCTCATACCAGTAATAATTTCCATCATGCTCTTTCGGTGCAGTGAGTCATGGCTTTGAGACTGCCTTTTTGTCAGGAGCTGAAAACACACACACACACAAACACACACACACACACAAAAAAAGACAACTGTGGGGTCACTGATGGAAAAACTGGTTAAATTTTTTCCTTTAAGTTGCCTCAGTCTTTCCAGTTTAATGATTAGCTCATGGCCTTTTTTGTGCCATCCACCGTTCATTTGTTTTTTTTATTAATTTTATACTTTTGGAATATTTCCACCAATAACAATGTAGCTTTTGTTAAAAATGTTTGACTCCTAATAATATGTCAAACCAGACACGTTAGACAGCAGCAGAAAAGCTATTTAGTGGTTCCTTGTGAAACATTGCGCTGTATCGAGTCATGCTATTAAACAAGCTTTAAAGCTCAGAATTTTTGCAAAATACAGTATTTTGAATTATTTTATTATAATACAGAATCTTGACTCACTGATTTTGCAAGCAATTTGTATTATGTTACTGCAGTGCTTAAGTATTATGTAGCACCACCTGAAATTTGCAGTTAGCTTCATGCTGCTCTTCTGTTTCTCACCTCAGGTAAATGGCTAGCATGCCAGTCTATGGACAACCAGATTCTCATCTTTGGAGCCCAAAACCGCTTCAGACTGAACAAGAAGAAGGTCTTCAAGGGCCACATGGTGGCTGGTTATGCCTGCCAAGTGGACTTCTCTCCAGACATGAGGTAAACCTTTACTGTGATACTGATGGTTATGTGGTGAAAGGCAGTATCACTGTGACAGAAACCAGACTTGGAGACTCATGTGGGCCTTTAATAGTTAAATTCTTTTGTTACTAATTTAACAAATCAAAATGAATCAAACAGATCAGAAGAGATTAATTAAATTCCTCTTCAAGGATGACTTTGTTTTTTTTTGTTTTTTTACCTACCTTATTTCACCTATATGTGGGTATGGTGACTCACTATGGCTAGTGCAAATTTTACTTTCATTACCTCTGTTGTAAACATTCAAGGAAACGAAAAGTTGCGCCAAATTGCAGTCACCTGGGCAATTCACGTTCCGTTATGCACCGATATCGACGGACAGCTTTTGCCTCGACAAGAAATAGTGTTACATTTTAATACCGTGATATCTTGTGGCACGAGATCTCGTCACACCCCTAAACATAAGAAAATTAGGATTCCATTAGGACACCTTCACCTTGAAAAATTATTGGACTGAACTCATGTTTATTCTGAGATCTCTGTGACTAACTGATTACCCTGGTCACTACTGTTTAATGTGACTTTTCGTTTCCCTCAATCTCTACAATGGAGGTAGTTAGCACTAGCTATAAAGTCACTGTACCCACTTTCCATTAATGAGTGAACAGAGGCAACACTAAAGCAAATGTGAGAATCACTTGTATCCTGTAATCTAAAAAAAATGCTCAAAAGACATTATAATCCTGTGTACTAAAATAACTTCACTGGATAAAGAGTTGTGGAAATCAGCCTGTTTTTTGTTATCTAATGTATAAGCGCCAGAAGGAGAGCTGGCTAGGCCAGTCCAGCACCCTAATTTTAGCCAGAACAAACATTAAGACGTCCCCTCTTCTCATCCACCACCACCCACTTCTGTGAGCCAGTGCCCTCACTTCCTTTCAGTATCCATGGCAACACAGCAACTCCTGGCTAGACTAAATACCAAAAATTCTAACTCCCATCTTTTGGCAGGTGACATGGAGACAGATGTAATTTTTAGCAAAGGGCTAATCCGTTTTTCCCCCGGACCTCTTCTTTTCTTCCAGCTATGTAGTTTCAGGAGATGCAGATGGAAAGCTGAACATCTGGGATTGGAAGACCACCAAGCTCTACCACAGGATCAAGGCTCATGACAAGGTGTGCATCAGCGCCCTGTGGCATCCACATGAAACCTCCAAGGTCATCACCTGCGGTTGGGATGGACAAATCAAACTCTGGGATTAGATGCCTGTTTGGGGGATTCTGGTATGATGGACAGAGAGAGAACGGGACTGAATTTCATGAAACATTTTTGAGCAAGAGCCACAAGACTGGTATCCAGTCTTATTGTAGCAGCCTCTTTTTGTATCCCTTCATGACAGCTTAGAATATGTTCTCATGTAATATCCGTAAAAAGATTAACACAAGCATACAACCGCCGGCCACTTCATTAGGTACAACTGTACAATTGCATGCAATTCAACCTCCGCCTTAACATCTGTTTATGAAGGTCACAGTGTTTCAGTTTTTGGTGAAATTGTCAATTTTTCAATTCAATTACATTATTAAGGTCATAGTTAAAGGTGATGTTATACTGGACTACATTATAGTCAGAGGTGTCTATTTATGTCCCTCCCCAGCTACATACATGAGGGTCAGAATATTAGGGAAAAGGAAAGTCCAGTGCAACACCACCTTTAACTATGACCAAGTTTAGACTGTTTGGATTAGGTCAAGGGGTGTCATAGAATTCTGCTCGGAATAAGCATGTAATTGAATTTGTAATTGAAACATTTTTGACAATTTCACAAAAAACTAACATTTTAAGCTTCATAAACAGATGTTAAGGCCAAAACATTGCATTGAAGTGCATACAATTATACAGATGTACCTAATAAAGTGGCTGTTGAGTGTAAAGACAATTTCTACAGCAAAAGGGTGTTTTTTAAATAAATGTTTTATTTCGATTGCCACTGTCCAGTGTCATACACTTTTCCTTTTCAGTTGTTATGACCACCCCTTTGTGTAAATAAAGGCATGTCTAGATGAAAGGTGTGTTTGTAATTGCATTTGATTTTTACTTTGTCAGTGTGTGCACGGCAGATATTTCAATGCTGAAGCCTGAGAATGTTTGACCGCTGTCCCCCACCGCCCCCTAGTGCGCATGTGCAGCGGACCCCACCCCGGAAGAAAAATTTGCCGTGTGCGCCAGGCGAGCAACAATCAGTGGGGAAAATAAATTATGTTCCACTTTATTAGGTACACCTATACAATTGTATGCACTTCAAATAATGTATTAACGTTATGAAAAAAACGTTCTCACCTTTTCCCCTTAATATATCCGCTGGAAGAATGGTCTCCATCTTGCGATTCAGTGTCCAGCTGTTATATTAATGTGACATACAAGGGTTGAATTTAGTTTACCGTTATAATCGGTCCTATCAGTGTTTGTTTCTGGTTTGGCACCATGAAGATAAACAAGAACACTACTGGAGGGACACAAAGTTGTGTCGGTTCCTTACAATGCAAACCACGTGCCCAGGTAACGTTAACATTAACACCTGATCAGTATTATACACACGAAGCCTGTGATGAGTGAATGTCATTTGTTTGCTATCATTATTTAAAGATGGCAGATGGGCTTTATTTTGACTTCTAAATAAGTATGCAACTAATAATAATGTTGAGAAAACAATCTCATTACAAGTTCCATTTAGTAGCTTTTCTGGAGCTTTCGATCGTATCATACAGTCTCATGTGTCATGGAGCATTTGAAAGCTTTTTGTCCATGCTGGCACAAGGTGAAGAAATAATTTAGGGCAGGTGACACATCTGACCCAGCTGCCAATAGAAGCTTTTGATCCTTTGACAGTTTGAAGTCTCTCTAACTGGCACAGCAGAACCAGCTCCAGTCCTTTGGCATCTGGATACATGATTAAGTTAAAGCTGTAGAAACCTGCAGCCTCTGTCTCTTATCCACCTGTTTACACTCTTCAGGTATCATGAATGGATGAAGTGTCCTGATCTGCAGCATCCGACCGCCTCAGAGCCACCGACCCTGGAACAGGAGTACGACATGCAGTGGAGCTGGAGGGAAGATGGTAACAGTAAGACTTCTTCTGCAGTAAATGTAAACACAGAACACGCTCTTATTCATCCTCTAAAGCAGTTATAAATCTGAAGGCTTTCCAGACTTAGCCTTAGATTTGTTCATGTGAATAACTGGACATCTTTATTTCTCTGAAAACTACAAAGAAAAAAAAAATCTTTGGTTGAACCGATTATACAGCAGTGGCCGGAAAGATAAATCTAAGAGAACTTCTTTTAATTTTGTTAACGTATTCTAAGTTAGAGTAACAAGTTTTTAACATTCAGAATTTTTACAATGCCTACATAAATAAGCTAACACATTGTCCAAATACCAGAAGCTTATTTAATACAACTTATGATCGGATAAGGTGAAACATGATTCAGTGACATTTGCTTTATGAGGTCAACACTGCTTTCAAGGTCTGTCCTTATGGCTTCCAAATCATTCCTTCCAGACATTCATACCATCATCCATCAGATTTGTTAGGTTAAAGTGTTTATAAATAACTGGTGATCATTGGATATGATATGAAAATAAGACGTCATTCTTTCTGAGGTCATGCACTAATAAAATCATTCAAATTTTACTTAAAGAAAAGCTGTTTAATTTGACCTTTTTATTTTTTGCACATTCATCTTGGATAAGCAGCGATGGGCAGATCCCAGTATAGAAGAGGAGCAGTGCATGGTGGGAAATGTCAACATGTTCCTGACGGACCCAATGGACCTCTCCTTGGCTGAGCTGGAGATCATGATAGCCGGTGATGCCCAGTGTGTTTATTTTAAAATAGATTCAAAATCAAAGGCTAAGCAAATATCTACAGTCAGCCTGTGCTGTGGTTTGTACATCTCAGTCATTTCCTGTGTATATCTCTTTATATCTGGACACTATATGTTTTCTACAGAGTCCAGTTACAGAGGCAAGGAAGGGAAGGAAGTGACACATGATGATGTGCTACAGTGAGCATCTGATCCAGTTTTTCTGCAGTTCAGTCTTGTGTTGTGTTCATCATTAGTTGGAGAATCAACTTGTGGTGAAGCAGGAAAAATAATGAATGCAAAATTGCCATGAGAATGCAGACAGTGAATGGGATTAATGCAGGTGTATGGTTTGTTGTAAGACGACTTGCAGAATAAACAACTTTTAAATAGTATCTTTTGTGTGTTTGTCAGGAAAAGTAAACTGCTCCTAACATTCAGTACTATCCTATGTTGACTAAGAATAACAGGACGGATACATCTGATGATTAGGCTTATACCGTATTTCCTTTTTATTCATCTAATTCTGAAAAGAAACTATAAACTCAAGTTTTCAAATACATCTAGTGGAGTCAAAAGGTATGGTAAGATGTGAAGCAGAAACTAAAAGTACAGATGCCCCAATTGCACTTATGTACACTGCTTTTTCCAACAGAGTTCGATGCTGTTACTAAATTAATGTGACTAGTAAGCATAGGCTAGGAAAATTAAGGAAAGATCAGGTGATTATGGAAGGAGAGGCTCAGATGAATAGGAAATATGAATTGATTAGAGAAAAGTTATTAAAACTCCTGTTTTGCCTCAAAGTGCATCATATACTGAGAGTAAGTAGCAAGAGCTGTTGACTTTTCCTGCATGTTTGATATTTATGAAATGTGTTAGTTTGTACAGGTTTCTGTGATCAGAGTAATTGTTATAACTAGGACAGACATTATAGGACTAATTCCCCCCATGTATCTTTCAATAGGCCACACAACACATGGACCAGAATATGGGACTTGCTGCGAGGAGGACCGACAGTGTTCTGGGCCCCTGTCACTCCTACATATGGACATCAACTACAAGTTGATGAGGTGAGAAACATTCTAAAGTTGTGGTTGAAGTGAGAGTACTATAGTAGAACTGATAGGTTCAAGTCAGACTGTAATTTCTGTTTTCCTGACAAACTAATTTCAAAAGTTAATTAATGTCTTTATTAGTGCTTTCACTCTGCATTTATATCCACCGCATTTATACACAGGGTCAGAATGAACTGTAGTGTTAACAGTTTCAGTGAACTGTAGTGTTAACAGTGTGTGATAATGAAGCTTTGTTGTTGTGCCTTAAGCCAAAAGTTCAGAGCCTGAATTACTTTAGTAAAAACTTTGTGTTCTATCTGTAATGTTTATGGCAAACATTGTCTTAACATAGTGATTGACCATTGCTCTCAAGTGAAACAGCAGGCAAGTGGAATTAACTTCTAAATTCACTGTGGATGAACAATATGCTGATTGAGTTAACTCTGTTGTCACAGGTTATGAAGTTCTTCCTTGATGCTGCAAAGACACCTGACATCCAGGTAGTGTGTACAGTCTTGTTTTGGATAATGTCTGTGCACTTAACTATTTAGCAGTAGGTTAAACAATTCTCTAAATTAGGCTTTATAGTAGTAACCCTGCTTCTCAGTAATTTAAAGCTGACAACTCCAGTCAACCTTGTATAATTTAATATTTTTATAGTTGAACACTGCGCACCTTTGCCATTTTTTTTTTATGTGTGCTTCCCTTATGGCCTACAAACTACAGAGCCAACAGGTGACTAGTTCCCGCTAAGTCATGGCAAAATTTCCTAGAAGCAAGTTTTAACAGTTAACCTCATTGTTAAAATGAACATGCTAAAGCAAAACAACAGGCCATCGGAAGGCTAACCAAACATGGAACTAATTAGAGGACACACCTGGCTCTCCTTCAGCCCGATAGGCTTCTTGTTAGTGTCAGATACAATTGATGAAGTGGTTTGATACTGGATCATTGCTTCATTTGGACATCAGTACCTCTGTCCTTAGATGCTGTTGGTTTGCTGCCTGATAAACCCCACACACTGACAGGTGGCTGTGATCTCATTCATGTCAGTGGTCATAAAGTTATGCCTGATCAGTGGATATGTCAGTAGTCAGAATTCCTACTGTAACGTGAGAGTTGACTGCAATTTGCTGCATTCTATAATTTTTATACCAACATACTTTTTGCATAATGGTATCTATTTAGTAATAATGGATGGGTTAGGTTAACATGCAGTTTTTGTGAAATCAGTGCCCTCATTAAAATGCACATTTATGCAAATAAAAACAGACTTTTGAAAAAGAACACTTTGAAATAATAATAATGTCAATAATCACAATAAAAATAACTCCTAAAAACTTTAAGAATGATGAAGTACCACTTCTGTTTTAATATTTCTTGAATGATTTCACAAATTGTCTGTGCAAGTATATATTTTACACAATTTATTCATATGATTATTAATGTCAATGTTTTTATTTATTATTATTGAACACTGTGGGTTTCCACAAAAGGCTTTAAAGCTGAACTGTTCTCACCTGTAAACCATCACCAAGTGTTTAGGTACTTCCATATTGATACCAACCCTTGCTATGAGCTACCCATAATGACTATAAGTAAACAGCTACAGTAGTTTTCCTTTCAGCAAACAGCAAATGTACCACTGAACATTTTCACAGTATAAAATCTTTCCCTGGCAGCCAGACAGACATTATGTCAAACTTTGGTTCAATTTGAGTTCACTTTCATTATTCTCCAGTCTCTTTGGAGTGCAGTACAGTCAGGGAACCTCTCTCTCCACCCACCTTATCTCTGGATATACTGTAGTCCATAGGAGGTTGCAGTATATTCTTGCAGTACAAGTGTTATACTTGAAAAGAAAGAAGCATAACTCAGTCTTGGCACTGTTGATCTTTTAGAGATGCACAGCAATAAACAAATAAAACAAACTGGATTAGAACTGTTTACATCAGGAAAACTGAAGTGCTGATAAGAGTTATCGGTTATTGCAGTCCCACAGACAAGCACAAAGAGCTTGAACCCCAACCTGCCCTACCAAAGTCAGTGGTGTTAACCACCGAGCTATCAAGCTGTTGTATAGGTGTACATGTTCGCACTCAAAACGATTTATCGTGCAGCCCTAATAAATATCTATTTCAGTAGACGTCTTACAGTGGTGTGGCCGTACAGTTTCTGTATTAATCTGTATTCACCCTTTCATTTCAGAGTAGAGCAGTCAGGTATCACCCTGGTTGTGATTTGGGTCACATTCATATGTTGACTCATTTGATAATAATACAGAAAGTCTTTTTTCTGAGTGGTTGCCTTGGTTTAAATGGGCTCTCTCACACCTCTCCAGAATAATCTTTTGCCATACAGGGTCACGCTGTTTCGTTCAAATAGGGCTATTAGCATAGCAGTCACCAGTAGCCGTTGTGAGGCTCTTGGCCCGGAAGTGCCCGCTGTGTTGCATTTTATTGCTGTAAATGTCTTTTGAAAAGAGGTCGCTCAGAGTGACGCTTGTCTCCTGCTCCGCAGTTCATCATCCTGGTAACGGACAGCACAGACGGCGAGAGGCTGGCCATCTCGAAAGAAGAGCTCTAGAGGATGTTGTCCCGTGAGGTAAAACTCTCGTCTCGACACATCTAAGTAGGGAAATGCAGAACTGACTTTGTTTTTGTAATGAACATTGATTTTTCCACTGAGACAACAGTTTGGGGTCAACAGGTTATGGTTCCCAGTGATTCCCCTACAGCTTTGGGGGGGCTAACTCAGCATCCACACAATTAATTACACGGTAAGATTCTCCTTTTTTTCTTTCCTTTGGTGAATGCAATATGCTGTAGCTCTAAAGTGTGAGCATTTGAGAAGCCAAGTAGTGCGAATGCCAGCATAAAGCATAGTAAATGCACTGTACAAGTATAAGACCATTTACATTTGTGGCTCAGGAGGTAGAACAAAAAGAAAATGTAGAAAACATGAGAACACTTTATTTATAGAACTCTATCACTCCTTGCACATTTCATGCACATTTGTCATGACATTTAAGTCTGTTTCAAATACATCAGGATAGTTTTCTCTCCCACCATCACCACAGGAGAGGTTCTGGCCACTTCATAGAGTAGAAAACACCGGAGGTCTGTGCTGCTTTTGGATGTTGTAATGAATGAAACTGCAAAACCACACAACAGGAAATAACATTACACTACAATATTTTACTGTTGCTAACATGGTGAATTTATCTCAATTAATCCTTTAAAATGTTTCTAACATGACAAAGTGTCACCTCCATGTTGGCTGCAAAAGCACAAATGTGTAATTAATGTGCAACAGTTCCCAAAAAAAGAAAAAAAAAAAGAAAAGGGTCAGTAGCGCTATGGACCGAGCCTGCTGAGACACTGGAAGCAAACACTGTGTTGTAAATATGTGAACTGAAAATGTAAATGAGCAAAATACTGTTTCACTAGAAACAATTTTGTAAAAGAACTGTGGTATGTAAGCAAGACTATGTAAGGCCAAGATCATCTTAAATATTGTCATAAAAACAGTGTTTTGATCTACATGAAGTGCTCTGGATCTGTAACAAACCAAAGTGCTGCAAAAATAGACTGAAGAATTAAATGAATTATGATTCTGTGGACAGACATGCATTACCGTGGCCCTGTACCAAGATGGCAGCTGCACATAGCAGTAGCAGCTATCGAGGCCTTTCCCTGTTTTGCTACGTTTTTAGGCAGTGTTTCCCCTACTCTTATATTAGGGGGGCGCCCCATCCCCCCAACAGCATCCCTGCCCCCTCCTTGAATGTCAAGTTAATTTTATTTTTTATATAATGCCAGATCACAACAGAAGTCATTTAAGGTTACCTTTCCTATAGAATACGTTTATACTTTGTTCTTTTATTAAACAAACTAAATAGCCTTATGTTATCTTATTTACATGACGACATGTCATTTCTGTCTCTATATGGGCCACCCAAAGCTGTAAACCTAGGGAAACACTGGAGAATAAGCGTGCTCTAGCAGGAATTCGTGCTCAGACTTAAGACTCCATATTATCAGAAACTTGAACATTTCAATTCAGTTGTTACAGCCAAGGTTATGGTATTTGATTTCTACAAGTCTCTCAAGGCTTCCACTGTATGTTCACCCAGCTTAAGGTGTAAACACTGCTGGCATTGAGGACATTTTTATGCAGGAAGATGTGAGGTTTGGCATGGTCTCTGTGCACATGGAATAGGCGGAAGTTGGCATATTCCAGCTCCTTTAGCAGGCTGAACCAGAACCGCACCACGGATGGGTCATCGCCTCCCACCTCAAAGCCTGCCCAGTGCAGGTGAAGCTCTAAGAGCAGCTGACCCACTGAATCTAGAACACCTTCCAAGACCAAATTCTCCAAAATCTTCCACTCTGCACTCTCCATGTCTGCCTTCAGTACATCCACCTACAACAGGGAAAAAAAAAGGAATCAATTTACAAGTTTTTGGGTAATAAATTGATTTAATCATAACCATAGAATGGAGGTATTCTAGTGAGTTATTGAGCACAAAAGCTATTAAAAGATTAAAAGGAGCAAGTGAAGCTTGGTCTTTGTTCTTGCTTTAGTGATCTTAATGATGGATTGAGCACAAGAGCAGCCTGTCAAGGCTTGCTGTGTTGGTGCAGGGAGAAAATCCTTCCAAACTAATCAATAGCACAATTAGGTCGTATTCCTGTAAGGAGACTCATGCATACCCAAAGATGTGTATCATCAGAACTCCAGGATTCCTCTTAACGCTTCTGCTTGTCTAGATGTCTGTTGTCAGACCTTTACATGTTTAAAGGTCTCATTGGCAGTACATTTATTCCTCATAGGCTCTCCAATGTCTGTTAGCATTTTTTGTCAATTAGTAGTTGTTTGTGGGCCCTCTTGCCCAGTCACTGAATTGATAAAATAGCCTAACCAATAACACTGTTTATAAACAAATAATATAACATGCTATGTGTATTTGTTCTGAATCATTAAAAAAAGACTGAACACATAACAGTTAATTATTTTAAGCCCTGCTTAATATGACAGAGTAAGGGTTTTGTCTGTCAGGTAGCAGCCAAAGCTGAACAGAACAGGCAGAATAGTCATAGCACCGCCACGAGTCACCACATCACTGCCCTAGCTCTGTCTTTCAAAGACGGCTGGTTCAACTCCAACATAATGAATTATTTTGTTAACTCCATAGAAACGTTAACAGCTAGTACCCAGACTTCCACCCTTCTCTGTTTAATCAGAATCTACCCTGAAAAACTGGAAGAACACTTCTGTCTTAACACATCTGAGCACCAGATTTTTTTCCCCAGTAGTTTAGCTCTTAATGAATCCAACTGTCCCTGAGAAATAGGCTCAACACAGATTCCTCAAATGTATTCTACAATGTATGTAACTAGGCTATAGTAATTAACTATATGTATCAAACTTAGACTATTAAATTAAGAATTTTTAAAGATCATTTCACTCCGTTTTTCAAAAATGTATTTAAATACTAAATTTGGCGGCTGAGTCCACCGCTACAGCAATGCCAGTGGTCAGGGGCCATTTGCATTGACAGGCAACACTAAAATGCAAAGGAAAAGAGAGGTAAAGGAAAATGATAGATGAATCGCCCACTGCATAATATTAAATCATGCCTTACAGAATATGTTTTCTGTCTTTCTACTAAGCTAACTGGCTACAGCTGCATATTCACAATACATATGTGAGAGTGGAACCAATCCTCTCATCAAACTTAAGGGAACAAATATTTTCCAAAATGACAAATTATATGTTTAAGCAAGTTTTAAGGACAAAATCAGCATCAGAAGGTTTTTGTCTGTTTGTATTCTGATGGCGACACAGCTTTCCGTAAGAACTCGGGTCCCCTGGACAAACCTGACTTCTCTATGGTTTAAGCTAAATTTGAAGAATCAGTTGGGTAATATATAGAAAAACTCATTCAACAATTGTGAACAGTTTTAACTTTGTGAATCTTTGTTATGCAGTCTTAAATAAAAATTTTTAAAAAATCACTAAAAGAAGATGACTGTCACTGTAATTGTCTCATGAAAATTCACGATAGGTTCAAAACCAATCAAAAACCAATTGCGCTCTCTTCAGCTGATCGGCTTCACTGTTTAGCTTCTGTAGAATATTTTAAAAACTGAAATTCCTACACTGCACTGCTGAGAAATAAATGATTGCAAACTGTTTTCATACCCAGTGGGCACATATTTCCTCTCCTCACACTGACTCATGCAGAAAGGGATCAAAATACACTTGGTAATTAGTTCTGTAAAGTAGTCTCAGGATTAGGCAGCACACTGGGACAAATTTTAATTTTGATAAGATATTGTGTGCCTTTGTAAACAAATAATGTTACTGATTTGAGAAATAAACAAATGAAAATATACTCTGGCTTGTTAATTGTGTTGGGCAAATCCTAACTATTAACAAGGAATTTATTTACATGATTGGTCTTGTTTTTTTTTCTTATCAACCAAGGGGCCAAACATCACATCTTATTTGGCCATTATTATTGCTATATGTGCTTTAATTAGTAAGCCTGCCACTGGAGAGCAGATAGCTGTTAAAGATATTTAATTACACATCTGCCAGGTTTCCTAATTCTGTGCTGCTGGAAGCACTTCAACAACTGCTCTGACATCAGGGGAGAGCCTTCCAAAGGCCAGGAGCCATCTTGATATTCACCTGTGTCTTCAGTCTTAGTTTTCTACACAGTTTGTGAGAAAGTTGTGCCTACTTCAGTGCAGATTGCCCTAACTGAAGCCTTACTAAAGATGTTAAATGGAAATGCTGTTTCTTTTCTAATAATACTGCTTATAATAACTAAGGCAGTACGTAATTTTAGCATGGAAGTACTGCTTAGCATTGCTGATACTGTTGTACAGTCCGATTACCAACATCATCGATGTTCTAATAGAAGTCCTTCTCAATAAATAAGATGTGACTTCCTACTACTGACATTTTGTCTCCGTGGTGATGGTGTCTGCCGTCTCATCTGGTCACCAGATCTCTGCTCAGTGACTCACTTACTGGTGTCGTTTTTAACCATCATGAATAAGAAATGTTGCACAAATGCATATTTTGACCTTTCTGACTGACTCTGTTACTTTTCTCGTCATAGAGGCTGGGCGAGAGCCTTTGAGCAGAAACTGTTCTGCTGCTCCGACCGCTTACTGCTCCTCCGGCACAGTATGTACTCACATTAAAACCTCATCACAAAGACGCACGTGTGTCTCTGCATTTAAAACAGGTGATGCTATCGCCTATAAAACAGAATGGTTACATACCCAGCCCCTCACATGCATACACACACCAACTTCCTCACACAGCATCTTGATATTATTCCTTCTTTGAGCTAGTCTGGTTTTGTTTACTGGCACCAGAATAGGAATTAATAACTCAAAGCTCTGAGCTTAAAGCTAAGGCAAAGCACCTGTGTGTGGCTAGGTATTCTGCTCTAGAGTCTGATTCAATTCATGTTAATTTACCATTTTGTATAAAACAGACAAGTAGAAAAATGGGATGAATTAGATAAGTTTGGCTAATTTTTCCTCCAGAATAGTTTTTAAAACTAAAAAGGGGAGCCTACAAGTTAACAGGATCAGCAAGCTAGCTCCTGGTAACAGCTAATGATGAAACACCCAATATACTGTACAAACAAATGAGCTTTTCTTAGAGTCTTGTGAGCAGTGGGAGAAAAAACTAAAACATGGTAGTGGCGTAGATCAATCGCCACAACTACAGCACAATTTTTGCATCATCTAATCCTCTGTTACTAATCTATATATATCTCTAACTACTGAAGCTTCCTCCACAGGACATAAGAACAGACGAGACTGACTGCATTTCAGCTGTGATGCAGTTACCTATGTCAGAGACGCCTGGCTTTACTGACCTTGAAACATGAGTTCAGCCCATTCCTAAACAGGCATTTTCACTGGATCTATAAACTGTGTTTATTAGTATGCATGGTCTCAGTGGTTGCAGGGTGTGTATATGACTGATCTTGTATGCAGATCCCTATCTGATGAGGTGGAACACAAACCCTAGGGGGCTTTGAAGAGGCAACATTCAGGATGATAATATGTAAAGGAGGGAAACCAAAGTTATATATGGGAGTTTATTCACCTGGATAATGGAGGAATGAATCTTGATGAGCTATATTACATTGGAGTGCACAGGAAGGGGCCTGTGTTTATGTGTAGCATGTGAGCAATGCCGTCAGAGAAAGGGGAAAAAAAATTCACTTTCATAATCTGAATCTAGGATTTGCTTAAAGATTAACCATGACTGTTGCATACTCTCAACATCTTACCCGTCTGTGTCCAAAGTCATTAAGAATGGTGGCCAGTTTCTTGGTGTTGGCGTACTGACGCTGAGCGACAATGGCTTTTGGGTGTGGGCGTCTGGACGCGGAGCGACAATGGCGGGTTTTGGGTCTCCCCAGTCTACAGAAAGCCGATGAAGCCACATTTGAGCCTGCTGAAGGTGAGGCTGCTTTAGACTGGGATCAAAACAGTGGACCTCACACCCCGACCTGGCGAGGGAACGCTCCAGAGACCGGTCATCCACCCCCAACCTGCAGCACACATGGGACGAGACATTCAGGTTTAGGATGTAAGAGTCGGAGACAAGGCTGGGTATTGAACCTCAATACTTTCTTAGTACAGGCCAAAATACGGATATGCAGTTATCTCTGGATCACAGTGGCGCACTAACAGACAGACAATGCCATCCATAGAGCCATACTGCTAGCGTGGCTAATGCAATGGTTTGTAAGAAACTAAAGCTTGATACTGCTACAAAGAGAAGAAATATCAGGTATTGTATCACCACATGTAATGAAAACTTTCAAACGATCCCCAGCTGTAGACAGGGAGGAATGGATGGATATACAAATATACTGTAGCTTTCACATTACCACATACACTCTGAGACATAGCTACAGCTACAAATTAGATCTGCTGCGTTTTACTGAATAGGAGTGGGTTGGATTTCAAGGGAATCTAATGAATGGCTGATAAACTCAAAAGCATCCACTTTCCTATCATGCTCTCATTTGATAGTACCAAGGACCACTGCTTTTGAGCACAAAACAGGTAGAGAGCCTCTGTTTATTCCACAGCAAGCTGAACTGAAAGTGTATTAGATCTGCTGTGTGACAACAGCACCAGTTGCGACAAATGCAATATAGACAAGCTGCATATCACACATCATATTATCACTGTCTGACTTGACCTGCCTGCCTTAAAGCCCAAAAATCAATTACCGTATTTTCCTCACTATAAGGCGCACCTAAAAGCCTTAAATTTTCTCAAAAATCGGCCGTGCGCCTGATAATCCAGTGCGCCTTATGTGTGCACTGAGTTCCAAAATCTGTAAAAATGTTGTTGTGCGACTTCGATAAGCGCTCCGCTTGATTGACTGTCGGACCATTTCCCGCTGACACAGGGACGTATTACGTACACTACGTACGCTGGCAGCGATAAACCAGTCTAAGGACCCCCGAAAATGGCACCAGTGAAGAGACATGCTTACGAGGCACAATTCAAACTACAGGCTATCAGTTACGCGGTTGTAAATGGGAACAGAGCAGCTGCGAAAGAATTCAAAATCAACGAATCTATGGTTCGGAAGTGGATTTGTGGGAGAAGATTGATTAAAAAATAATGTGTGTATTGTTAAATAGTAGAATAAAGTTCAACTAAACTCACTGTTTTGCTTCCGTTACGTTTTAGCATGCGCCTTATAATCTGGTGCGCCTTATGGTGCAGAAAATACGGTACCCAAAAAACAAAGAACAGAAGCTTTTGGCTATGAGATACTTCATTTCATGTTTCTCTCTTTGTTCCCTCCTCTACCTCTCGTTTTCCATCTGGCCTGCTTCTCCATTTTGAAAAATGATGTGTAAATCCAAGTTGACAGACACATTCCCCTGTATTTCTCTCTTTCATGCTTTCTCTCCTTTCTCCCACCTGTCCCTCCTCTGTTGCTGCAGTTTTCTTCTTTCTCAGTCATTGTCTGTGTTTTCCCCCGTGTTTTGTTTGTGCTGCAGCTGTATTCTGTAACTGCGACAGAGGGAGCACATTTCACAGTACACATCTTTTACAAATGAAGCCCTGAATACATCCCACTAGCAGGGAAATGAGAGATGAGTTTATGGGACAGACTGATATGAAACTAGATGTCTGTTTTTTACCACACACAAGCAGTTCCTATTCTCTGGTGGGGTGTTTTTGGCTGGGAATCACTGTAGTGATACTTTAAATGACAGCGATCGGGGATTACTCAGGGGAGAGCAGGGGCTGAGGGGGTAGTGACAGCGCATCAGAAGCACTTCTGGATGACAGTGCTGATAAAGGAGTGTTTCAACTAGCTGTAATATCCTCTCTGATGAGACTACAGAGTGCAGGAGCGGCAGCATTCTGGATGAATTGCTACTTAGATGTGTGCGCGCCAGGGGAAACTTCAAACGCAGGCTATAGGGCATACAAAGAGATCTCTGTTGACTAGAATGTCATGGTAACCAGAAGCAAAGATGTGTGTATGTGTGAAATGTGTCACAAAGTGGACTGTAAATTTGACAAACACAGCCTTGAATCTCCCCGTGCTTGCACCGAATATTGTGTCAACAGTGTGTCCAGACGCTGTGAACCTCTGAGGTGAAGCTGGTTAACAAACACTGGGTGGGCTGAGAAGCTATTCACTTTGACAGCCTCCTTCCCTTTCAGATTTTCCTTTCTACCCTTATATATTTGCTACTACACCTTATTTTATTTCATTCCATTTTTTTTTTCCACAAATCATAATGTGCTCTGCTTCTGTCTCCCCACTATCTTTATCTCGCTGCTGTGCTCCTCTTTCCCCTTCCTTCATCACACATTCCTTCACATTAGCATATGCATGATGAATGAGAGACAAAGTGCAGGTATTTCTATAAAGGATTCTTCACCACAGTAAGATAGGGCCAATGATAGCATGCACATAAGATCTACCACACATCAAAGTATAATCTGGATCCAAGTAATATCCTGCATGTGGTGATTCAGAATGTTCAAACTGATGGGGCTTAAGGAAGACCTTCTACTGTGAGACAACAAATAATTCTACAGACTTGCAACTAAGGTGAAATTCATCACTCACTGAACAAAAGCTGGGTCAACTTTGACAACATAATTATTAACATTCTCAAGAACACCAGTACAAGTGATGTTTTTAATAAGAACTATTAGTATTTCTTAAGCTAAGTTAGGAGAGCCACTTCAGTCAAAGGGTAGGAGTGATTTTTGCCACTAGCAATACTGTGAATATTCCTGTAGCATCATACATGTCACCAGTTATGGTAAAAGTACAGCATATGAGTGAATGCACACATTTCAATGCCTGCGTTGACTGGCCAGTATGTGGGCTGTTGTTATAGCAATGGATGATTCATCTTCGGTGTCGAATTAGAGTTGGTATCTGCACTGTCACTGCGTACGCTCAGGCAAATTAGCAGAAAAAAATAATGCATGATCAAAAAGACTGAGATTGAATCTATAAGAGAGTAAGTCTGAGTGGGAGAGGTGAGGGGTGGATAATTGGTCTTTCATGTGGAAAAACATCCTGTAACAACCCACACTCCAAACTATCCATCCACCACTATGTAACAGACCAATGAGAGCTCATCCTGCACAGGTGCAGCTGTCCATGGCATCTTTAAACTGAAAATGAGCCACAGCAACCATGCACACACAAAAATATGAACGCAATTGCAGAGGTGGAAAATAACTAAGTATATTTACTCAAGCACAATTTTGAGGTATCTATACTTTGCAGAGAAAAATATTGTACTTTGTGTTCATTACATTTATTTGATAACTTTTGTTACTTGTCAAAATTAGATTAATAAAACAAAACACAGTGTAATCATAAGACTATTGATCCTCAATTCACAAGCTACCCAGCAGTATGTATAGTACTTCAAATTATAAGCATAAGGTAGTTTAACTTACCTCCACCTTCACCAGTTGCAACAGTGAATGTGAATTACACCATAACACATCAATAATTAGAATCCAATAATATGATGTACATTAATGTGAAATGTGCTATACTGCATAATGAGTACTTTTAACTTTTGGCACTTTGTTTTTTTGCTAATACTTTTGTACTTTTACTTAAGTAACAGTTTGAATGCAGGACTTTCACTTGTAGTAGAGTATTTTTACTCTATTACAAGTCATATTGCTACTGTTACTAAAGTAAATACTTTTTTCCACCACTGCATATGTGTCCACACAGTAAAGTACTGCATTCAGCACAGGCACACATGCACACTTAATAGTATTTGACATTCCTATTAAAGCCAGTTTTATATGGAGCAGGGGGTCCTCCCTAAGACCAGGATACTCAACTTACCTGGCAACAATTCAAGACTGTGAAGTCTGTGTGTGTGTGTGTGTGTGTGTGTGTGTGTATGTCTGTACTGTGAATCTAGGTCAAACGGGGGACATGGAGAGGAGAGAATCACTTGGTATATCCAGAAAAGTGAACTTCAAAGAGCAGTCAGACTTGATGAACACCAGACTCTTAGGATACTTCATTTATACTCATGAAGTTTCTGTTTCTCATACAGTTTCATTTTTTAGGTCAGCTCACTTAAGAGCAAATATATTATTGGTGCTGCTGTTGACTTGAAAAATCAGAGCAGTGAGTTTCATGTTAATGAGCTGACATCCAGGTCAAATGTTAAAATGTCTGCATAAATCACTGAGAGGAACCACAATAACATTCCTTTTATTTTTGGTGCATGTCCGTGTAGCTTGTCTGCATGAGTGACTCTAGCATCAGGCAGCCAGAGGATATCGGTTATATTTTCCTCCTGTCTCTCTGTTTGACCTCTGACCCCCTCTCCATTGAGATGCAGGAAGCCTGAAAGAGAAGTAACCTCATCCGCCTCCTTTCCTCCCCATCAGTATTTGCACTCTGCCTGCCTTGACGCCAGCACACCTGTGCTGTCTCTCAACAGCCAATTTAATAAGCTCCCCTCTCGCTCTACAGAAAAATCCTTTCAATCTTCTGCAGCACCTGAGCACAGCAGAGGCCTAGCAGGACAGGACTGGTCCAAGCTGATCCACAACACAAAGCCAACTGGGAGTGATCAACTCTCCAGTCTTAAGAAGGGGAAATATCTTGAATGCCATGAATTACTGTGGCGTCTGCATACAACTTCCTGACTGTGTAATAGTGAATATTCCTGCAGCTTGGTCAGATGTTGTACATCACAGCCTGTCTCAAAGCTATGAACAAACTGCGATTACAGTTAAGATTAGATTTAAATGCTGGACTAAGGGTTGCTTTTGTAAGCGAGGTGGTGAAGGTGTTAGGCATCAGGCACATCTAGTATAAACAAGTGAATGCATGTGTATGTGTTTATCTATACCCACCCAAAAGAGTAGACCCTGCAGTGTTTGCTCTGCATCCTGTGGGTCAGGCTGTATTTAGGGTCCAGGCACACAGCCCAGGCACCACTGGACCTCCCTTGAGCCGTTTCTTCGCCAGGCAATGATGAACATAACACCTGGACAAGTAAAAGCATGCACACATTTTGACATTTTCCTGATAACAAGGAGGAGAACTTTTGATCAAGTTTACATTCATTGTATAATTGGAACCAAAAGCACTATATTAGGAAATGAATGGCATTTCCTTCAGAGGAATGAGTTTTACAGATTTTTGGCTTTCCCTAGTGTTATGACAACGTGTTAGAGAGCTTCTAACATCTTGCCTTAAACCATAAGGACAGAGCCAGTGGTGGAAAGTAACTAAGCACATTTAGCGCAGAGATATTATGAGGCATTTTATGTGTATGTTACTTCATACTTTGTTTCACTACATTTCAGAGGCAAATATTCTACTTTTTACTCCAAAAGGCCTATTTACTTTAGCAACTTTGCATATTAATATTAATAAAACTAAATATAGTATAATCACAAGGCTTTATTGATCATCTGGTGGGAAATTCACCAGCTACCCAGGATTATGCAAGTAATTCAAATAATAAACATATAAGGAAGCTTAAATTAGCTCCACCTTTACCACCTCCAGCTGCAACATTAAAGTGATGTACACAATAATAAACTGTAATTAGAATCCAATAATATTTTTCTGAAAATATTTCAATATCTTTGTCTAATAGGTCTAAAGTACTGCTAATTGAAGAAAGTGGCTACAATAAAATACTTTTCCAATAACCAAAGTATCACCCTGAAATTGTCTTTACTCTTTTGTTCAAACCTGAAGAACCTGTAACTCTGGACCAACATGTTTAGTGTTTACAATATGTGAGTTTCCATATATTTACATAAAGCATGTACCTGCATAAACTGTAAACGCGTCAGCTCCTTGGTTTTGCCGTTTTATGGGTGACTAAGCTTTAGCACAGGAGCTGCTGCTCAAGTATTTGCTGTCTGGTTCCTTCATATTCCCTTTGCTGCAGATGCAGAGATTCAGTTTAGGTAAGAATGAGTGATATTGTCTCAGATGTGACGATATGAAGCAAATCTGCAGCTCTACCGCACACTATTCTCACAGTGTTTGCTCAGGTTATTTGAAATGAACCCTTTACAGCAATGTAAACATGAAATAAAAGCTATGAAATATTGGTAAATGATTGGTGCCTTCCAAAAATATTCTGTTGTCATGGAACACTAAGCTGTATCCTAGCCTTCACCTACACTTGACACAGAGTTTTGAAACTGTTTATTATGTAGGTTCACATCCTCAAACATACACCAAATTTTCTTTTTAAACTAGTTAAGATTTTCTTTTTACAGCTTCAAAACAATATCTCAGGCATGACTTCTTTGCTGTGGCCATTTAACCTCATTAAACCTCCAATCAGCATTCAAGACAAGTCAGACAGGAAGGGACCAGCTTGTTCAGATGCAGTGTCACTGTTTGGCAGGAAATAAAAGCCCCCCCCAGTCAATCTTTGTTGTAAAGAGCACAAAAACTGTATTGTACACATGGGTGATGTGACAGTAAATGAATTTGGAACATGTTCCCATCATTGTTTATGTGTTCCAGCTGAGAGCATTCATTGGGACACAATGCACAGTGTGCAATGAAATGGAAAAAAAATCACTCCTGATTATTCTGTCACTTCACATCTGCAGACCTATCAGTGGCATTCAGCTGCTGACAGCTGAACACTGAAAACTAAGCTGTATACAATGACCCAAAAGAACATTTTCACTGAACATACACTATAAAGAATATCATTGTTAAACCCAGCTAATGAAAAAAAATTTCTACAGTACATTTCATGCTGTTAAAAACAACTGTTCACACCAACACATCTGTGTGTGTGTGTACATGCAAGATGCACTGACTGGTATTGATTGGACAGTTGTGTCACAGGCCATCTCCTGGAGTAACAGCTCCACCAGGCACTCTGTCTGTCAGCATTACAGCTGAGGTTTGCTGCTGTGCCGCCGCCAGCATCCTCCACCCTTGCCGGTCACTGTCTATGACGGACTATTCCCTTCAACAGCTTCCCACAAACACATACATGCTTGTACAATCTATTTCTCTCTGTTCTTCTCCCTTCCTGTCACACATACACACACACAAGTGGTTGCACATGCGCACTTACTCACATCTTGCAGCAAATTCATTATGAGCTAAATGTCTGCTTTGTGAAAGATAAAAAATAAGTGCTTAGTCACTTAGAGTGGACTACTCTGTGTTCTGGCAATATTGTGTGTGTGTGTGTGGGGGGGGGGTGCATTGATGATTTATCCCCAAGCCAATTTCATTACAATAAAAACAACAGCGCATGTATTCCAAAAAATGCACTTTGGACAAAAAAAACAAACCGTCTCTGGGGCACAGAAATCCAGGCTCTCAGTCCCCTGATGTTGTTCATGTTATGATGCTTAACATCTCATTTGATTTGTAGTAATGCAATACTGACACGGATCAACAACCAAACCACAACATTTAATTGACTGAGTATGAACAGAGGGGCTGTGTGATCTTTTTTTCTGTATGCTAATCAATACAGTAATTAATTATGTGTGTGCTGTTGAGCAAGACAAACATTCTCTGGCTGAGCTGAATGTGTAAGAGGTTAAACCAGTGTAGTTCAGTCAGGGGCTAAAGGATAAAGGTTGGCTCTGACATACAGAACAGAGATCTGGCCTTCAATAGCAACAGCGTCTCAGTTATCTGTCTTCAAACCACAACCTCTTACTCCTACATTTATGCCTCTGTTTACACAAAACTATGTAATTAAATCTGATTTTATACAACAGGCACTATTTTTAAGAGCAAGTGAGAATTCAAATGATGACGACGACTTACTTGTGGTGTTGTGATGTAGTTTAGGAACCTTTTAGCTTCGTCGTTCAGAGAGCGGCTTTCACTGGCCCAGGGTTCCAGGTTTATATGCCACCGAGGAGTCTGCGGACAACCAGACAGCAGGTTTATATGCCACCGAGGAGTCTGCAGACAACCAGACAGACACACACACACACACACACACCTGATTATTAACAATGAAAAGAACACAATTACCAACATCAAAGTGGGCCACTGAAAAGAAATCTGTTGCAAGGACAAAACTAAAGGGAGCTTTATTCTTTCAGGTATTATAACCCACTTGTGCATAGCCACTGATGGAACTAGGTCACAATGTGCTCAGTGGAGGATATTTTTTTCCCCATCTGTGTTAGTGACAAACTGCTAAAGTTCATTCCTATTGTTATTTTAGTAAAACGGGCTGTTATTTATTCGTATGAACCCTGTGCTGGAAGGTACAGATTAAAAAAAAAAAAGCTACTGTAGACAGTCCAGCTTTGACAGTGGAAAAATAAGACACCATCAGCTGGCTGTAGCAGCACAGCCTTGTGAAGTGCTGCTGTGTGATCACATTCCTGAAACCTGGCAGAGTTCTGCTTTGCAGCCTGTTTTATTTCTGCAGAACTGTCTGTTTATGATTAGAAGAGAGGCCACGGGATGGAAAGCAACAGGGAGAGAGACTGAGAGGTGGAGCTGTAATGAGACATTTGTTGGTTACAGAATCATTTCTTGGGTCAAACATCAAGACCAAATCTTCATTAGCAGCCCTTGTATAAATGATCCCAGGTGATGTTACGATAGAGCGCTTCTCTGCACTGGAGGCTGCTCCAGACTTCATCAATGTTTAATGAGCACTCCAGTTTAAAAATATCCATAGTTATGCACAGATCATTTTTGGCTTAGCTAACAAGATCATGTTTGGGTTTGTCCAATGCTGTGAACAATTTATAAAGGGCACTGTGATAAAAATAACCTGGTCCTGCAGTTCACATCCATGTTTCCATGCTTTATTTTACCCTCTCTCTCTCTCTGCGCACAGTTATGCCCACCACTTTAGCTTTGTTTGTGCAGTGGGGTTTGGACACTTTCATTTATAATCACCCTGCTGAGTTCAACTAAAGTGCTTTAGCGTGATACGCCGTGAAACTGGAAGCTGGAGTCTTTGATTATCTTTGAGCTTGTGTATCGGTCAATTCTCTCATATTTTCATTTGTATAACAAGCCAGAGGATTGCATACGTTTACTCTAGCACACACACTTACATAGTGTAAAATACCATACGTTTACTCTAGCACACACACTTATTACATAGTGTAAAATATAATTCATTCCAGTTCAGTGCACTTTAGCAGCATGAAAACTGAAACACTGCTAATACTGCTAAAACACAGCCATGTGAACTTATTCGCCATGAAATACATGCATGTGCACACACAGACACAACTACAAACATACACATCTGTCTTTTCCTCTTCTATGCACATAAACACTTGTGAACTTATATATAGTGCATGTGCATTTACTGTATATGGACATGCACACACACACACTGACAGCACTAATACATTTTCTATGACACTGAGACGTGTGTCGTTTCATCCTCCAGTTATGCTGATCCTGGACCTGCCAGCACAGAGAATCAGCTGTCCCTTTAATTGCTGCAGAGCTGGATCTGTGCAACAGTACTCACTGTTTGGCATTCAGCCTTTAATCGATTCGCAGCATGTCAAAACATATGAATGCTTGCCATGTCTCAGCTCTTCCCCTCCTCTCCCTGCATCATGTCATTCCCATTTCCTCATCTCTCTCTCTCTCTCTTCTTGCGGCTCTAACATTCTGCATTAGATTTCATTGTTTATGTGCTCTCTACTTCAGCTCTCTCTTCATTGTCTTAATTTAAAATGACTACATCCATAATGCATGATCAACATAATTACCCTGCAGGACCAATAGGGTGGTGGATGTTGCTTACCCTGCAGGACCAATAGGGTGGTGGTGTGGATGTACATGTGGGTTTCAGTCAATAGCTTTTGTTTTCTGCAATTTGAATTTTCTGATTTGCCAGTTGCATACGCCCCCCCATCTAGAATGGTTAATAAAGGAAAAAGGAATATGTGAAGTGAAGTGAAAAAAGATAAGTGGCTAATAAATGGTGAGGAACAAAGGAAATGTAAAACATCAAGTGTAGAACTGGTCTCATTACTACATGAAATGAAATCTGGCCTCTTCGTCTTGCGGCCAGCATTACACATTAAACACGTTTAACACCTCAATACAGCTATAAGAGAGCAAGTTTGGTTATTGCGCATTATTAAGCAAGCATCTCTCATGTGTCTTGAAAACAGGCCCTCTCATTTGCACAATCATATTATAACCTTTAGACAAAACACCACAACTTACTGCTTTCCATTAACAAAATATAATTTAGTCAAAGAACTACATAACCACACAGTAGAGATTAGGTGCAAACAGTCTGAAAATCATTAATGTGCTACAGAATAGATAGAGACTCTCTGTTCATTTTACAACAAAACATCTCTCTGGCAAAGTCCACAATCTGACAGACAACTCCTGACAAAAAAAAAGAAAGTCGAAATATCAGTTTCAATTAACGCTGCCCTAAAAATGCAGTTGTGAGGCCAGGAGGATTTAATAGAGACAGAAAGAGAGAGAATCGGTCTGGGAGTCTGTTGTTTACACGCTGACAAATAACATCTACCTTTCTGCATCACAGCGACTCAGAGATCCCAGAGCTCTGTTTCTCCAAGCAGCTCTTTTCATCTGCTTAGTAAGTCCTCTGTGTAAAGCTCAGCTGTCAGGCACCATACATCAGCCTGGTACAGGTTGGGACAGGACTGCTGATCAGAGGATAGATATCTGGGAACAATAGACTTCCTGGGAGGTTTCAGTGTGTGAAGCATGGTTGAAAAGGAATGGAAAAAGAAAGAATGGACAAGGAAAGGACAGAGTAAGGGTCAAAAATACAAACAAACACACACTACAGAAGTTTTACAAGTCAGAAGAAATTGAAATATTGGCAGATATTTCCAGGGAAGGAAGGTGACCATCCGAGGTTTGCAGTTCAAAAGACTTTACTGAAGTTGTCAAACTGACTTGTACAACCCAGGTTTTCAATCCAACTTTGGTTTCCAAACTAGCTGCAATGATTTTACTATTCATATGAAGTTATTTGGTAAAAAATAACTCAATAATGTGTGCTGCAGTGGAAGTGGATGTGCAAATTTTATACAGTGCATGCCTATGAGCTCTTGCCAAGTGCTGAATCATCACTAAGTGGTGATGAGATTACTGTCAAGTGTTCATTCAGGCAACAGCAAGTCATCAGCACCTCAGGGACAGCAGATGTAAACTCAGAACTGTCAAGCCTCTGCTGTCTAAACCACAACATTAGATATAACTATGTACTCAGCATGAGCATTTGGGGTAGTTGACTTTATATGAACGGTAGGATGGACAATGGAAATGATCGAATCTGTACACTGAGATTTGGAACAAAAAAAACCGGCTGAATCTTCTGAAGAAAATGTATATGTGCCTGCTTCTTAAAATTCGTTGTTAATAGGCAGTTAAAATAAAATTGCTAAAAGAAGTTGAAGTGTCAATTTAAGCGCGAGAACTGAGTGAAATTGGAGACAGCCGAAATGAAATTGCTGGAAAGAGACAAGGCCTCAGTTCGATTACAAACAGTGAGGCCAAAAAGAAGTTGGTACGTGTGCTTGGCGAAGAACATTTGCATGTAAATTTTAAAACTGTTGAAATACTGAAAGCAGTTGAAGTGTGAGTGTTGGGTAAAGCTGAAATATCAGTTGAACTTCAAGCACTGATAGGAGTTGTCATTCGAACCTCAGGGATTAAAAAAAAATATTAAAATCTATTTTATTACTCTCTTATTCTGACTTCTCATTTTATTTCTCAGAGATACAAAAAGGATGCTTTATTTTTGCAGCCTGGTCCCATGTTTGATCACTTTGTTATGGGTCCTTTCTGCATGGCCTGCTTGTCCTGACAGAGCTGGGTATATTTATGGATCTGTGCCTCTCAGCTTGGGTGTGAGAGAGGTGTGAGCAGCCAGGCCAAGCATGAATAACCCCTGAGGGAGATGAGGATGGATGGCTGAACATGAGATGACTGGATAAAACAAGAGAAGACTGTCTGCCAAAACAATGAAGGCGGGTGAGAAGAAAGGAGAAGTGGGCAGCAGAGGGGGAGGTGGAAGACGAACGCGCAGATAGAGGAGGAAGCGCATCTCACTGTGAAGGAAGAGGAGCTCTACGCCAAGAATAAACAGAGTCGATACATAATGGTTGATGACAGTGTGGTCAAAGTGTCTGAGAGGTTGCAGCGCAATCAGCATTTGAGTGATCAAATTGTCACTTGTGCATCAAATGTCACAGAGGAGACAGCCACAGGTGAGCTGTGTCTGCCCATTTTGGAAACCATAAGGTGACAGAAGGAGTGCTGCCAAGTCATACGCATCTGTTGGTAAAGTGCCAACGTCGCTGAATATCATCCCTGCTGCTCATTTCTTGCAATTGCTCTCACCGGTGTCCAGATGCTTCAGCAAAACACGACCAAGCTTGCAGTCAAGAGGTCAATGCTTTCAGTTAAAAAGCGTGTGGAATATTTTTTATTCTATGGAGTGTCTAGGGAAACATTCTTTGACAGGCTACATTTTCTGACAGCTTGGGGGAAAAACTCAGCTGTGTGCCAAATGAAGGTCAAGACACGAGATAAAGTGAGAACACAGCAACGTTGTGGTTTAATGAATCAATGGGTGGCTGATTCATATTAACCTCCCTCTGTTTTTTTAGTTGGTGATGAGCCACCAGATCAGAGATTTGTGCTCCAGAGGCCTCTGTTACTGTGATTTAGGGAAATATGATGTTGTTTCCTGAGCTGAGCAACTTACAAAGAAGCATGACAGACATGCGCAAACATCTTGAGTGTCATGACTGGTAGGCCCACTATACATAAAAACAACCTACATCCTGCCTATCCATTAACGTGGCTGCATGCAGTACAGTCTGACCTACTAAGATTGCCTTCGTGCCTTTGACTGTTCTCAGCTGCACACATTTGAT